ATAGCTAAAATATGGAATTAATTTTATAAAAATTATTTGGCAGGAACGTTAACACCTCACCTTCAGAATAAATTTTTTTACTTCTTGAATGGAAAGCTCTGGTCACCTATAAATGGGTGACGAGAACCCCATTCCACATGATATCAATAGAACCCTGACAAAGCATTCAACGAGTCGCAAGTAATACCGCGACACCGAATCGGACGTGACACCAGAGGCACGGAACTGTCGCGGAAAAGAAAACTGCTGTCCGTTCCAAATGTAGCAAAGCTACGTGGGGAATTCCGAATAGAAGGGGGCAGCGGTGGAAGGATTCGTAGATACGTTTCCGAAGGAAATACGAAGTCCAACTCTTCCACCGTCTTGTTATACCGTCTTCATCTTAACTGGCACAGGTGGACCCTTCAAATTAATCCTACATTTGATTAAACTGTTCCAAAGAACAGATCTAACCTCATACAATCGAAGTACCAACGAAGTAAACTGCGTCACCATCAGAGTTAGTCTTAAAACATTCTTACACGTCGGAAAGAAAACAAGTAGAATGGAGAACGTTTAGAATTTAACATATAATAATTTACTGCATTAGGAATTATTTTTTGAACTCCAATAGCAAAACCACTCAACAAAAATTGTGATATAGTCATTCACCCAACGATGTTTTAGACATTGGTAGATAAAGATCGTATTTTAATAAAATGTATACATTGTACGTAACACAAAATAGATACGCTTGAAAATTGCTTCAAGTGGAGAGACGAAATTCCCTACGAAGTGTTTCATCCCCTTCGGAGTGAATTTCCACGAGGAAAATAAACTATGTTCCTTGCGTTCTCGAACATGGTCTACGTTTCCTCAAGGGCTCGTCAGAATAGTAGTTTTCGAGCTGGGGAAACCTTGTCAGGCACGTCGACGTCGAACAGAGAAACATCGACGAAACCATCGTAAACCTTTCCCAACCATTGCTGTCTCTTTCATCCACCCTTGTTCGCGGCACGAATTGCGTTCCAGCGCGAATGGGAACGAAACTAACGAAACTTCATCGACTCGTAAAGCGGCTCAAGATATTAGTGGTTTGCTTCTCGGTCCGGTGAAAAGATTCCACGCGACTGATATCCTCTCCTAACTCGGTGCAATTTATTTTGAGAATATAAGCGGAACATGCAGAAACAGAGGATCACGCAGCGAGCATTATCGAAGCTGGGAGTGTATAGTTAAAGGCACACTTGATTCGAGTACGCCCATTGTTTCGGTCATAAATTGCGCGCAAAACGTTGGAAGCGAATTGCTATGCGGTTTAGATTCTATGCTTTCAATCGAGGAAGTGAAGTAGTTCTATTATTGTTCGGCTAAACTTAAAAATTTTTCTATTAGAAATAATTGAAAAGTATATTATAGATAATAAAAAGATTGTCACAATAAATATTTTTAACGAATTTATCGTCGCTCCCCTGTATCACCCTTCAAGCAGAATAAATAACCACAAATGTTAGTTACTTTTTTTATAAATATATATCTATAACCTTACATAAAACTAGTTATTATATTAGAAACACAGATAGAATAGAGATTATTATACATGTTAGTTATTATAATATATATTAAGAACATATATGGAAAACTTTTTATGCACCACGCGCTAGCCATAAGTCGTCACGAACACCCTCGAAAAAAAGACTCACATTGGCGCTACGGATACAACCGCATCTTATACACTCGAATTTCAACGTTAAATAAATCGACAATTTTTATTCTGAAAATTACAAATTTCGTTCCATACTTTTTTCAAGTGTCTACCATTAAAACGAAAAACTATCAGCTACTAAAATCTTCCCATTTTCAATGCATCAACAATTGAAATAATTCAGACAATGGCTCTAATTAAATCCTACGTTTGGAAGTGGTCTCGCAAACTTATCAGTAAATTGAAGGGTTCCCTTGCCAGTCGACCATTTTCCCTATTTGCAATCAAGAGTTGTCAAGTTCTCAGTCGGTTGGAGAAACGGGAAAGAGTGGCCGTTCTCGTTGATCGCAGGCGGCAACGGAAACACGACAGCAGCGGTTCCGCTAATCGACGCGGAAAAGGGAACCGGGGTATGGGGGTTGGATCGCGCATCTATACTCACAAGTGGTCCTGCCGCTTGAACGCCTTGCCGCACATCGTGCACACGTATTTCCTCTCGTCGCTGTGCGTCAGCTTGTGCTTCGTGAGCGCCGATGCGTTGTTGAACACCTTCCCGCAGACCTGCGACAGAAACCGTGGAGCTTGTCAGCGCATCTTTGCAACGATGCCTCGCGACAGTTGGCTTATTTGCGTAGTCAGCCGACGGTGCCGACGGGTTTCGCGACGCGTGACAACGAAGACGTTCGTATTTATGCGAACGAACACAATTCGGAGGTAATTTAGTCTCGTTAAAGCATCTTGAAAACGTCATTTTTGGACAATTGATGTTACTTTTTCATAGGTCGCATTAAAAGGTTTATTTTATTTAAGGAGGAATGCAATTTTTGTCGTGGAAAGTATTGCAGTATTATAATTTGGGATTTTCAAGAGTTTGATAATATAATATTCTGATCCTATTACTTTAGAATATTAGTCAGTCTAAGAGGATTCATTTATAATTAAATAATGGTGAATTGGCTCTAAAGAGATGAAATTTTAATTAAAGATTAGTTAACTACATTCATAGTGTTTCAATTATAATTGAAGGCTAGTCAATTGCGCCGATAGTAATTCAATTATAATTGAAGGTCAACCAAATACACCTATCGTGATTCAATCATAATAGCATGTCAGTCAATCTTGTTTGTGATTATTCAGTTTTAACTGTAGATCGATGAATCGTTCCTACAAAGATTCAATTATAATTGAAGACCAGTCAATTACACTGATAGTGATTCAATTATAATTTAAGGTGAGTCAATTACATCTATAGTGATTCAATTATAATTGCATGTTAATGATTCACTCCTAGAGGGACTCAATGTTTGTCTATTTTATATCCTAATTATTAAAATTAACAAATAAATATATTCCTATTTCCTACTTGAATTACATTCATTCAACTCCAAATAATCTAACAACCTCGCAAGACAAAAAAACAAAACACAGAAACACTTAAAAATATCCACCTTGGTCATTCTAAATCTCACATTTCTAACTGCACCAAATAATACAAACACTTCCAAAATTCGTTCATTATTAGAATTTTCCGGTTTGTTAATCCCCCGAAACGTGCTGGATTCAATTTCTGGCCATGCGTTGGAGGGAACCAGATTGCCAGTCGTGCTCGTCTAACGAGTAACGAAATTACGGTTCACAATCGCGGACAAACTAAGTGTAACGGCTTCGAATCGAGTCCCGGGATTTTAATACACGATAATCGACGCGCGTTTCGCGCAAATGTTCGCAATTCTCCGCGGGCTGCCACACGTTCCAAACGGTTCATTGCGAACTCGCGAAACGGAACGGCCGCGTTGGACACAGTTTTCAATTACCACGGCCGCGGCCATCGTAAAGCCAGACAGACACGGGTTTACGACGAACATTAGACCGTCGATAAAGATTCCATTGCGACACGCTGCGCTTCAAGGTTTGCGTTACCATCGATCACCGATCGTCCTGCATACACGTTTGTATTATTAGGGTGCTTTCGAGCGACGATGTTGGTGTACTTCTTTACTGACACAAACGATCAGACGTGGTACTTTTAAGATCAGATGTGGCATGCATTTTGGACATTATGGGTAACACTTAATTCAGAGATAATATACTGATTTTTTTTGGGGGGTGGGAGGACATCTGGTTTAAATGACTGTTATTTTATGTGTTTGTAATTTATGGTTAAATGGTTCTGAAATGGAATTGCATTAGAAGATATTTGGTTATACGGATGCAGTTAGATCTTCATAAAATGTCTACACTTTGGTGTAAATATTGAATAAATCTAATGTCTAAATTTTGGTATTCTTCCTTTTAGACAAGTTTGTATGTATGTACATAGATTGAAGGATTTTACTGTGCACAATCACTAAATAAATTGACAATTTTTATTCTCAAAAATTACAAATTTCGATCCATACCCAGTATCAGCTACAAAAATCTTCACATTTTCAATGCGCCTACAATTGAAATAATCCTAACAATATATCTGAAATATCCTAATAATTCTCAGGTATTTAAAATCTTTTACGTCCTCAAATATGGTTTCTTGTTTGACAGATGTGATCACATCTTTCTCTAGTTCAACATTAATTTTATAAGACTCATACTTCTAAGAATTACAAAAATTTTTATATATAACAAATTAAAGTAATCCTTACCTTTAAAAATCAAAATGTTTCTTAAAACTATTATTTTTAGCAACCTACAAACTTTGAATTAATGGACAACATTGTACTATTTACTTTAGACTCAATTAATTCTCAAATACACAAAGTCCCATTGATAAAAAAAAAAATGTTGGACACCAAATCAATATTATACAATCCAAAACCATTGAGAAAATTTCATCGTTAGCCAAGAATTTCGGTATTTCGAATCTTCGCAATGTTTCCTCTATCCCAAAATGCAACACGACCAGCCGATTAATAAGGAAAAAATTAGAATCCTTAGAATTCTTCAAAAGCGAAGAACAATTCGGGCGTACAAAAGACGCGACAGCCATTCTCGTCAGAGAAACTTCTAATTACGCGAGACGCTGCTATGGTATTCCTCGCGTTAACAACAGCCACCCCAAAGACGCAGTCGAGGGTGTTGGGGAAGGTATGCCTGTTAAGTATGTGGAATTGGGTTTATTACTCGCTCAGGGGCGTGTACTATTTCAGGAACTATTTCAGGAAGCCGAGGGGGCGAGCGCACGGACGTTGTTCCATTTGAAAGTCCGAGGATCACGCAAGAATCATCGGAATTGGTGTCGAATTTGCCGTCGCTAAATATCGCGCGAAATTCCGTGGATCAAATTCGGCGGAGGTACCACTGGCGATTCTGATAAATTTCTCTTCCACCCTTTCGCGCTACTTTCCACCCTTCTCATTCGTCCAACGAGCTTCTGCTCCTTCTCTTTTTATTAACAGGTGAAATGTTCAATTCTGCCAGAGAAAGTTCTTCAGTTGAAATTGAAACATTTTTTGACAAAATATTTCAGATAAATGTAGTTCTTTTCACGTTGAACTACAATATATACATATATATATATATTTTTTTTTTTATATATTTTATATATATTTTATATATGTATTTTGAAAAATTATTCCTAGTTAGATTGGGTGAATAGTACAAAATTGAAGTTGAAAATATTTACGTGGATATTTATGTACGAAATTGATAAAAAATTACACAAACGCTCTGGTTCAAGCGCGTTCACTAATGTAATTAAACTTCCTGGAGTTCCTGTAGTGCAATTAACGAAATAATGATTGAATTTTAGTTTCTAGAAGAAAGTTGCTCAAGTTGTATCATGTTTCTCAATCCCCGTGCGACAAACAAACCAAAAATAGCTTTCCTGATTATTATTTGGCATTCTTTAGAGTCTAACAAAAAATAGAAATAAAAATATTTTGCAATCTAGAGTGGCGCAATTCAGCCAACCTTCTCCTAACAATGTTAATAAACTGAATATTTCAAATATTATTCCTCCAACGATTATGATAAATTCTCCGTACCGAATTAATACAATTTCATACCTCGTATACAAATAAATATACAATAAACATAGAAATGAATTTTCGTATATTTTGAAAAGGACCCACGATCGATGCATCAATTTAAATAAAATTCGCTGGAACTCATAATAATAATTCGATGGGAAATTCCCTAACGGCCACGGACGCGCGATTGAGTAGAAATTAATTTCCAATGCAGCTGGCGCCAGCACGTGGCGGTGGCAGCGCCAGAGAAAAGTTCTCTCTACTTTTCGTTTCACTGTTATTTCCATCCGCCCGACGCCTCGATCGGGGTTGACTTCGACGACGCGAATAAGTCGTGCCAGCTCGTCCACAAAAATTTCCCTCGCCTCGAACGGAACCCCTACGAACTTTCCATCCCCCTCCCCTCCCCCCTCGATCGGCGCCACCCTACCCCCAGAAAACTTCCGTTTTCCTAATGGAGGGAGAAGAAAGGATAAACTGTCGAATCAGCGATCGCTGATACTTCAGCCGTGAAATTTACCGATTTTCTGCGAACTGGAGTGTGGCAACGAGACCCGCGTGGAATTTCGATACTCGAATGAAATATTGGAGTGTTCGAGAAAATATTACGCGCTTCCAGCCACATTATTGTTATTTTTCAACCATCTATCGAAATCGTCCGCATCGATGCATTAACATATTGATGGAAAGCAATTTTTGTACATACATGTCTCGATTATTTATTTCAGATTAGTTTCTATATTTATTTTGGATTCATTTTGTTAGTAAATTTTAGTCAATGTCCTATTATCACTCTTCTAAAGTATTGATGTACTTCGCAATGCGAATTTATATTCTCGCATTGGAAAATAAATATAAAACGATATTATATATTTTCTATTATTGAGCGCATAAATATAGCGTACATACGTGTATTGGGTAAAAGAAGGCTGTTTTTTATAACATCACCTAATATTTCTGAAAAGAAACGAGAATTTGGTTAATTTACGAGCAGACCTAAACTTCACTCGACGTCCAAAATTTTGAAACTCTCCGTCCAGAAAGATCAACCATAATTCAACAGTTTGGAACTGTCCCGAAGAAGAAGGTCTCCATGAATTTATACGGAATTATACTTTAAGAACAGTTATTAGGGTAGTTTCTACTTTAAATAAGCGACCCTCTCCGCCGCTCAGGGGTGCACGAAATTGCAGCCCCTTATCAAAAACAGAAGTTTATTATTTGAGATAAAACTAAACTACGTCTCGTTACAGAAGAAGTATAACACAGTCTCCCTACCCTTTCCCCTCCTCTACTCACTCATCCTGTCACAGCACTGGAATCTAGGTTAATCGGTAGAAAAGTTAACCGCAATCCGTGCTATCGGACCATTTAATCTTAATTAAAGGGACGCTTGTCAGATCTTTTGTATCGTAATTATAAAAGTAAGTCTTGACGTATATACCTTTCGGTTATTTTTAAATGAAACGCGATCCGATATGTATGCAACGTGATGTCGATGACCTAATTGGGATGAATGAAGAAGTTCGCGTGGCTGGGTTGTTATGTCAAAATTTGACGAAGTTTAGTTTGCAACTTTGAGGGAAGGGCATCAAT